GGGGCTGGCCCTGGCTGACGTGGTGCATGAGGCTCAGGAGCCCTGCTCCCTGCCCTACACGCCCGAGACGTTCCCGCAGCTGGACCAGAGGCTGAGCCGCCTGGAGGAGCAGTGTGTGGATGCCCTGCAGGCCCAGGGCTTCCCCAGGTGGGGCCCCGCCTGCGCGGAGGGCAGCAGGTCCCCACTTTCCCCGTGTGGGGCCATTGCCCAGTGACCTCTTGATGGCCCCTGGCCTTTCAAGGCAGTGGTCAGGGAGAGCCCCTGGACCCAGGGCCAAAGCAGCCGGGCACCGGGTGGGGAGGCCCCCGCCCACCAGCCCCCCGCTGGCTGCAGGTCCCAGATCAGCACTGAGAGCTTCCTGCACCTGCGCTACCAGGGCACCGACTGTGCCCTGATGGTGACCGCACACCAGCACCCCGCCTCCGCCCGCTCGCCCCACGCGGGCGATTTCGGGGCAGCCTTCGTGGAGAGGTGCGTGAGCTTCTCCTCTGGGAACCCCGAGTGGCCTCTCCTTACGGCTGCCTTGCCCTGATGGCTCCCTCGGGCCGGTGTTGCAGGTACATGAGGGAGTTCGGCTTCATCATCCCTGACCGGCCGGTGACAGTCGATGACGTGCGGGTGAGGGGCACCGGTCGCAGTGGTCTTCGCCTGGAGGACCCTCCCAAAGCCCACACTGGGCCTCCCCGGGTGGACAAGGTTGGTGGGCCAGCCCACCCACACTCACGGGATGTGGGGACAGGGTGGTAGGGAGCCCACGGCCCGCCGAGAGGCCCCAGGGGAGTGCTGGCGCTGGGAGCCTTGCTCACCTTTCTACAGATGACCCAGTGCTACTTTGAGGGGGGCTACCAGGAGACCCCCGTGTACCTGCTGGCAGAGCTGGGCTGCGGGCACAAGCTCCAGGGCCCCTGCCTCATCATTGACAGCAACAGGTGGGCAAGGCCAGGCCGGTGGGGGAATGTGGGCCCCTCCTGGGCTCCCAGGCCTGCGGGGCTCTGTAGGATCCCTGGCTAGGGGACCTGGCTTGGCCCTTGCAGCCCCTTTGCACCTCGTCCCTAGCACTGTCCTCGTGGAGCCAGCGTGCCAGGCAGAGGTGACAGAGACAGGGGACATCCGCATCTGTGTGGGGGCTGAGGCCCCCAGCATGGTGGGCACCCAGCTCGACCCCGTCCAGTTATCCATCTTCTCACACCGCTTCATGAGCATTGCAGGTGAGCCGCCTGCCCTGGCTCCCGGCACGGGGCTAGCACTGGCAGAGGGCACAGCTGCTGTGGCTGGCGGCACTGGCTCCTGTCACATGTGGGTTGGTAGGGGTGTGACCAAGGGGGAAGAGGTAGATGCTGGGTCCCAAGTGGTGACAGGTGGCCCCTGGGGTGTCCTAGCCGCTTTGAAGGCAGACCCTAGGCAAGGCAGGCACCTTCCTCCTCTCGCCTCTGAGTATGGGGATGCCCTCCTACCCAGACAGGGCCTTGAGGCCAGCACAAAGGCCTTCTGTGCAGACTCAGGCCAGGGGCTCTCTGGAGGCCCAGGGGTCTGTGCCCAGACACCAGGCTTTGCTGTGCCAGGCAGAGCTGAGGAAGGCGGTGCCCACCCCACAGCCAAGGTGGCCTGGCTGCATCCTCACTGTACCCTGCTGGGCACGTTGCCACCTGGGTCTCCCCAGGGCATGGGGAAATCTGGCAGGTCCTGGCTTTGTGCCCAGGAGGCCTTGACCCCGCTGGCTGTCCCCCCTTGGTCTGCTGTGGGGCCAGCAGGCACCTGGTCACTCTGCCCCCAGAGCAGATGGGCCGTATCCTGCAGCGCACAGCCGTCTCCACCAACATCAAGGAGCGCCTGGACTTCTCCTGTGCCCTCTTCGGACCTGACGGGGGTCTGGTCTCCAATGCCCCCCACATCCCTGTGCACCTGGGTGCCATGCAGGAGACCGTGCAGTTCCAGGTACGTGGCCACCCCACCAACCCCGCCCACGCCTGCGCCCACCGCACCCCTCACCTGCCCCACTCTGCACCTGTTTCCTGGTTTCAGACCCAGCACTTGGGGGCCGACCTCCACCCGGGCGACGTGCTGCTCAGCAACCACCCGAGCGCCGGGGGCAGCCACCTCCCAGACTTGACAGTCATCACACCGGTGAGGGTTCCTCCGGGTGGCTGTGGGGCAGGGGTGGTCGAGGTGCTCAAGGCTGCTGTCCACTCCACCAGGTGTTTTGGCCGGGCCAGACAAAGCCTGTGTTCTACGTGGCCAGCCGGGGGCACCACGCAGACATCGGGGGCATCACACCGGGCTCCATGCCCCCCCACTCCACCTCGCTGCAGCAGGAGGGTGCGGTCTTTCTGTCCTTCAAACTTGTCCAGGGGGGCGTCTTCCAGGAGGAGGGTGAGTGGGAGTGGGCGGGGGCTCTCTTCAGGCTGGGATGCCACCCATGGCTACATGGCCCAGGCCTGCCCAGCAGTGGGGTTAGGGGAGACAGTGGAGTCCTCAGGGCTGGCTCTCAGGAGATCCGAGAAGGTGATGTGAACCCTGCCTTGGCCCAGGGCGTCCCCCTGGGAGGTGGTTGTGGAGGTGCCCAGGAGACTAGGTGGGCAGAGGCAGGGCGGCCTGTCGCCAGGGGGTGGCTGCTTGCAGTGCGTGCCCCACACAGGGTCTGGGGCTGCTGGCTTCTGGAGAGCTCTCCAGGCTGTCTGAGTCACTGGGCATGGGGGGCCGTGAGGGCTTCCACGTGGGCCTGTGCTGGCCTGCCTGTGCACCTACACGGTAAGGATGGGGTCTGAGAGGCCTGGCACTGGCTGAGTGGCAGCTGAGGTTGCTCTGGGTAACGCCAAGCCTCGGCCTGGGTGGAGGGCAGGAAGGACCAGAGGAGGTGAGGGATGAGGAGGGAGGAGAGGCGGCTGTGGGTGAGTTCAGCCCCAGGCTCCTGCAGCTCATGTGGTCACTGGCAAAGCTGCCTGAGCAGGATGCCCAGGTCCTGGGCTGTGGGAAGGGAAGGCCCAGCAGGGGTGGAGGCTGGAGGGAGCAGGAGACGGGCGGCATAGGACCCAGTCCTCGGTGTGGCACAGCGGGCACGGGACAGGCACCCACTTGGAGGGCTGTTCAGTGGTGTTCCTGTCCACCCAGCGGTGACTGAGGCCCTGCGGGCACCAGGCCAGATCCCCGGCTGCAGTGGGACCAGAAACCTTCACGACAACTTGTCAGACCTCCGTGCCCAGGTGGCGGCCAACCAGAAGGGCATCCAGTTGGTGGGAGAGCTGATTGGGCAGTATGGCCTGGACGTGGTGCAGGCCTACATGGGCCACATTCAGGTGTGCCTGGAGGGGCAGCAGCTGGGCCTCTCTGCTGGTGAGCCTCCCTGTAAACAGGCTGCTGTAACGCCTCTCCCCGGCAGGCCAATGCTGAGCTGGCTGTGCGCGACATGCTGCGGGCTTTTGGTACGTCCCGGCAGGCTCGAGGCCTGCCCTTGGAGGTGACCGCTGAGGACCACATGGATGACGGTTCCCCCATCCGCCTGCGTGTGCAGATTAACCTGAGCCAGGTCAGTCCGCCAGGGGTGAGGGGTGTGCCTAGGGCGCTAGCAGCGTGGCCCCTGCTGACGCCCTCTCCCCTCGCGGGCCCACAGGGCAGCGCTGTATTCGACTTCAGTGGCACCGGGCCGGAGGTGTTCGGCAACCTGAACGCGCCGCGGGCCATAACGCTGTCCGCCCTCATCTACTGCTTGCGCTGCCTGGTGGGCCGTGACATCCCGCTCAACCAGGTACGAGGGGTGTGCGGGGGGGCGCCCCCCCCCCCCTGCCAAGTCAGCTCAGCTACGGACGACGAGGGGGATGCTGGGGGAGGGCGTGGCTTTCCGCAACAGCCCTTGAGAGCCGCCTGCCTACTCGCAGGGCTGCCTGGCACCAGTGCGCGTCGTGATTCCCAGAGGCTCCATCCTGGATCCGTCCCCTGAAGCCGCAGTGGTGGGCGGCAAC